ACTACAAAAATGGTGGCAGTTTGAAAAGGAAAAACCTTCTTATCGAAAAAAGTCAACTTTAAACGTTTCTAAAAAATTAAATAATTAACGTATCAAAAAACGCGCACGCTACATTGTAGGCGATAAATTTTCATTCATCAATCAAAAAGAATTTTTTACTTCTGACGTTTCAATCCTTGCTAGCGATGGCGACCAGAAATCGACGTTGTAGCAGAAAATGTTTCCCAATAAGTCCTCCATTTTGTAACATTTTTACTTTATAAAAATTCGAGAAATTGATACTTTTAAAACAAAATTCCCAAATTTTTGCCCATTTTTAGACGATTCAGGGCGATGTACCCCCATAAATCATCTATATTCTCCTCGGTGACTGGAACACGATAATTAGATTACAGTAGCAGGACGATTTAATCACGGGTAACAGTACCACTATCAGAGAGTACTATCCTATCAGACTAACGGTCCTGTTATCTTCTCAATTCGGTGGACACAACTCCTCGAAAACAGACGTCTACCAGCTGCATAGCTTATTCGACAGTGATTCGTCATGCTGAATCATGATGGATCTCCTCGGAGACCATTATTGTCCGTTTAATCAAATCGCTGGTAGTTGATTGAACCGCTAGAGTGAACGAATATCACGACGATACAGATGTCGAATCGTTGCTACTTCGGATAACGCGTTCGCTGCCCGCATTCGAGGGTTGCACTGTGCGTAAACCGTGGATCGAGGATTGAAATTTCGATCGACTTTCCTTCGACGTGTACGGAAGTGTTCTTCGGAGACTCTTAACTTTATGAAAATGCAAGTTGGCGAACAACCGGACGTATAATAGGAACAGTTTCACGATCGGCCAACGTCGATTGTTCAATTTTTTCCGCCTTTTCTCCCCCCTTTGTTCGTTTTTCTTTCTCTACAACCGCGTTTTCCCTCTCGTTTTGTTTCTTTCCTTTTTTTTTTTTTTTCGTTAGCCCCCCTCCCCGGACGTAGTAATTTCAATTGGAAGGAGAAGTATAATCAGGCAGCAGGTTTTCCACCGGAGAGCAACTTTTTCGTTTGGCCGGGAGAATTTTGTTCGAACGAAGTAGGGTTGAGTGGAGGGAGCGAATAATTGGGTAAGTTTGGGTAAATATTGCTGCTAATTAAAAACGAAGTTATAAGAAAGTTTGTGGATAAAAGCGCGTTTTAATTCGTTGCCAGGGTGAAAATTCGATTAAATCAAATATTTGGGGAATTGTTCGAATTGAACGATGTTTATGGAAGGGTAGGCTGGTGGATTTCAGTTGACTGTGGTAAAACACAGAAAGTTCAGGCAATTCGTGTTAATTAAAACGGGAAGTCGATGTACGATTAAAACGAAGTCCCGAATTAGCGGAATCCTCCATTGATGAGGTTTTATCGAACAATCGGTGAGGGATCAAAGTACACAATAAAAACCCGTTAGTTTGGATTAATTGAAGCGAGAATGTCGAAATTAATAGGATCCGAACTGATGAGGTTTCCCGTGGTTTGAGAAAAGTGGCTCGGCGCGCAATCGATTCTTATTAATCCTAAAATAATTTCGGCGAAAAGCCGCTTAAATTACGTGGAAATTCTAACGAACGGTTTTATCGAACCAAGGGGAGATTAAAAAAAAAAAAAACGAAGAAGCTAATCGAGATTCTTGCTGACTTATCGGTTCATTCACGTTCCATTGGTACGAACGTTTATGAGATTTTTATTTAACCTGTTAGCTAGAGAGGATAAGTGAACTTCTCTTTTAAATGGACAATATTTGAAATGTAATTATTTATGTGTTTTGTAAATAAAATTTTTAAGCGAAGTTTCTATTTCAATTTAGAGTTTTATATTTAAAATTATATTTTGTCGAAGTATTTTTATTCGTAGTTTATGAAAAATCGAAGCTAGTTTTTCTTCTGCCGATTTTAACCCTTTACAACGCCACGTGAAATGGAAGTTATGTTTACCTATATTTTATAGTCCCGTTCAATTTATTTATTGTTATACTATTGCACCATGTTATTGTACTATAACATTGTTACCGGCCAACTGTGTTACAATAGTTATTACATTTTTTATAATAATTATCTTTCACATTTATTCTTGCAAAAAGATCTCAACCGAAATGTTTTCTTCTCGTAAACGAAGAAAGATTAGATTATAAATAATTTGAACATGAAAGGGTTGTCATTTCAATAGTTTCTGTTTTGTCAAGAAACAATTTCGTTTCGAAACAATCGCGTAGAATTTTTTTAATCTTGTCACAATTTACGTGACACAAGTGGCAAAGCTTAAAAAGAAGCTTTCGTTTAGTGATTCACCTGTGATTAATTTCAACGAGGTTCGAGTTTAAAGCGCCTTTGAGGTTACCATACGTATACCCGCCCCATGGTACTTGCCTGTCGGTGATTTAATTTATTTTTATGTCGGAAAAACGAAGGAAAATTTGTTGATTAACGTTTGCAGAATTGATGAAATATTCATACCGACGACCGTTCGTCAATCATTAGCGTACCATCACGTACCTTTTTTTCTTCTATTTATTTAGTCAGTTATACGACGGTTAAAAAGCTTCTCATCAAAATATCCTCGTGATCATCCCTTTTCCGTGAACGCTTTTTAATTATTGCAAAAATATGCTGCACGTTTCCTCCCCTGTACCCTCTCTTCTCTGTTTGATTTTTCGCTTGATAAACAGAGCTACCGATGGTAGTGACGTGTATGCACGGTGAAAATACAGTTTCTCTGGCGTATTTTCGCAGATAGCTTTCCCACCGAACTCATTATTCTGTCTGTGCAGCTGATTGCTATTAATCTTCGATCATGCAGTTTCGTTGAGATTAATAATTATGTAGAAATTGAAGTGAAAGATTTGAAAAGTAAACGAATGGTAAATTATGTTCACTGTGTACTGTGAAATTCACCTTTTAATTGTCTTTCATGGATAATCGAGGGAATTTAACCAAAGAGCACAAGCATTGGGGTAAAAATTACCGAAAAAATTTCTAAAACATTGTCATTTAAAATTGCGTGGACCTAGGACTTTGTTTTCTTGCGTACCTTTCATGCTGTTATTTGGTTGAAAAACATCAAATAATCATAAAATGTCTAAAAACAGTGTCTAAAATTCAGCACATCGGGTTAATTTCACCCAAAATATTTAGACTCGTGTGCTCATGGGATGAAAGAATTTAATAATTCTAGGGTAACAATGAGGATAAAGGTTGATGATGGTAATTGTTTACACGGTTTATTGTAATGTCAATTATATACAAATTTAAAATTACGTCCAGTGCTTCTACGCTGACACACCATCTCGTTACTCGACACAAGTGCAGTTACAATCAGATTTCTCCTCCTCTTTCTCTCTCTTTATATTTTTTTTTTTTCATTTTAAACACCACAAGACTTTCGCCACAAGAATATCAGCGACTCGACGAACCACTAAGTTTAATTATTCATTATTTACAGTCTAAACTCATTCGCCCACTTCTCGGTACAGTTCTTTCCATCCTCGATCGAACGTCTGACACAGTCACATTCTAATAAAATCTGACTAAAAACGTCTCGCACGTTCGATCCTTCCTCTTTCCACTTTCTTCGAATCGCGACTGTACACGCGATCGACTATTATTTTTTTATTCCATATCGATCGCTGTCGAAGCTTGAAAGCTTCGTATTGACTCGCGTCCCTAGCTAAAAGTGTCACTTCCGGCTGGTTGGCAGTATGCTATCGTTCAGATTCAACGATAAATCATTTATTTCAAGCTGATCTCTTTTTTTTTTCCTTGGTAGAAAAGAAACCATATTCAATTCAAGATCTCAGCTTTTTTTTCTTTCATCTTCATTTCTTTTGTTTTTCTTTTTTTTCTTTTGGCATATTTTTTTTATTGAGCATCTAGGCCAAATAGACGTTACCTCCAGCTTTCTCGAGTCTGGCCACGTTAGCTTGTCTCTGGTGGCAGTGACAGAGTACGAATAATCGAGCAATCGATTCTTCTCTCTCTCTCTTTCTCTCTCACTGACGAGGTACTCCAACTAATTTACGCGAACAAAAGGCGAATGGAAGTTCCATGGACCGCTGGAAGTGTCGTTGATTACGCAGGCGGATCTCGTTCGAGGCTCTGCCACTTCTGCAGGCGAAAGAATCGGACGTACGGGTCACCGAATCGAAATGTCTGACCTGGAAACCTTCGTTTAACGAAAGAACGTCTGACTCGTACGTGGATCCTTTCCACCTGATATCGAAGCATTTACTTTTTTATCTCCTCGTGGTCTCTTAATTAGGAATCTCTGTGTGTTTCGATAAAAGTCGATTTTCCAATTAGAAGAAATGAAACAAGTGGATTTGGGCCACGAGGAGTGATAAAAAGGATGCTTTTTTTTTGGAATAATTATCGAGCGATCTCTAGGAAATGATTCGAGTGTTTCCATAGGGATCGAAAGCTCTCTACTTAGATATCGTTATTACATATCGAAGACTACACGATTTTTTGGGCAGTTGGTCGCATTGGTTTCACTCCTTATCTTTATTCCTCGCGGTAAGTAGAAAAGGATGATAATTCGGACACCTTTAACAGTGTCTATCTGGTGTGCATACAGTTTAGACTGTAGATCCACGAATGATCTCGTCATTCTATTTGAAATTCTATGGAGGATCATGTCGATCCTCGAGAATATACTTAATTTCGAAGAAATCCAACCTCGTTCTTTGCATTGTCGCGAATGAACACATTACTCGTATATCCGCTAAAGAGATTGATTTAGAACTGTTCACCCGACCAAATAAATCAATTCGAATTTCCATCGAACGAGCAAACAGCTTCACGACAAAGCTCCAGAATCGTCGATTTCAGGCGCTGAAAATCACCTTTCTCGCTGTTCCTTCGAGTATACAAGAAGCAGACGGTGCACCATAGAGTCCAGAATGCAACCGAAGCTTCACTCGACGATCAATCGTCCGTAATAATTGATCTGCACCCACGAGGTACTCGTGGAGTCAGACCCTCAGCTCGTCCATCACCTGCTGCTGATGATTGTGACCCTTCTTCAACGTCCCAGTGCCGGTCATAGCCATGCTCTCCTGTTGCAACTGATTCGGACTGATGATCAGGTTCTGTCCTTGCTTCCCTGGCTTCGTGTTTTTTGGCGGAGGCGGTGGCATTGGCACGTGACAGCTGTTGTTCTGCAGATCGGCGAATTCGGGCGGTGGAATGTGTTGAATGTGGTGTCTCTCGGCTGTCTTCGTGTCCAGATCGCCGCAAATGTTGTTAGGCATCTGTCCGTTCTCTTGACGTTTCTTCGAACAGTTGTGTTGGTTACTTTTGTCACGCTGGTAGTAGACACCGGCGAATATAAGGACGTTGAGGATTAACAGGCTACATCCAATGGCTATCGTGACGCTGAGAGCTGTGGAATAGGCTGCGAAACCGTCTTCAGGTTGGACAGTGGAATCTTCAAAGGCTAGCTCGCTTGGAATAGCCGTCGAGACGTTCTGCGTTTTCTCCGCGATAGTTACTTCGGCTGTGGTCATCCGGGTTGTCGTTGGTATCCTCTGGATGAATCTGGGAGGCACCTGAAATAGGCAGGTATCGATAATAGTTGTCCTAGATTGATGTGCTTTCTTTAAGTGGAACTGGGTTATCTTCGTGTATCGAAGTCTACATTTATCTACTAGGTCAGTGCCGTTCAGTCATTGCCCGTACGGGCAGTGTATTAGTCTTTCCCGGGCGTAAGTAATTCAACGGGCAACAAGCTACGCCCTCTCGGGCAACGGTGCGTGTACTTACTCTGTGCGTAGATGAGATGTTGACACACTACCTACAAGCTAAAACAGCACAGGGGACAGGGGAATCATCTGCTCAGTCACCAATCTAAGTGGCTGCAGTGTAACAGCGACACCTCTATTCACATACATTGTCATTATTGGCTGAGTAGATCATATTTAGAAGTCCGTCGCGCAATGAAGAACGCGGACGAAACAAATGCGACAGAGCGAGGACCCTAAAAGTAAGATTTCTTAGAGGGGATTAGGTGGAGCGAGCAGACGATTCCCCTGTTCCCCGTGCTGTTTTAGCTTGTTGGTAGTGTGCCAACATCTCATCTACTCGTAGTATGTATGTACGTATGCAGTAACCATCGCCCGTCTTAAGAAGCACCTCTACTCCTACCAAAAGCGTATTTCTCCCACTTCGTTTTAACGTATGTGACATCACTAGCCCGCGACTTTGCCCTTAGCTCTGCCCGCGGGCATCGGCGAGTGCCCTTGCCCGCTTGAAGGCCTGCTAAACGGCACTGTATTAGGTCATCCTGAAAGTTCTCTTGAAAAATCACGAAACCACTGAAATTAAATATTTTTATTTCAAATTATTTCCATAATGTTCGATACACTTTTGCCAGGCGCTATCCTTTTGCATGACAACGCTAGACCGCACGTAGCAAGCACAACTGTACAAAAATTGCGATATTGAAGTTCTACTTCACCACCCATATTCCCCTGCTTTATCTCCAACCGATTTTCACTTTTCTCACCCATTCGACTGTGTTTACACCAACAGATTTATGAAACAGAAGGATATTGAAAACACCTTTCAGCAGTTTCCTTTTCTTAAAGAATCGGATTTTTATACATGCGGAATTAGTGCTCTTGTAATACGTTTGTAAAAGTGTATCGAACATTAAATAAAAATGTTTCATTTGAACGGAGTTGTATTTTCTTTCAAAATGGACGGCTCTAAAGCCGCGGGAACTTTCAGGATGACCTAGTAAAAGAAAATTCATTCTGGCGCCAATGTGTAAGTGTAAAAGGAAAGAGAAGATAGTACCTGTTCAGTGTCAAGAAGATGATGCGATCTAGGAACATCGTCTGAGCCAGGCTTATGGAGGTCTGGCACGAGATTCAGCCAGAACGAGAGTCTGTGCGCCCTGTAGTGGTTCTTCAGCTTCGACTTGGGCTCTGGAAACACGGATGAAGTCTCAGTTGGGTCGGGGGGGGCTCGTGTGCATTCAAAGAGAGAAAGAATGCTTTTAGAGAGAACGAGCGAGGAACTAATTGTAAGTCGCACAAGCAACCTACTCGCATGATAACCTCGAAAGACCGCCTTTCCAGCGGAACCCTTTCATATTAACGGCAGGGTAATTAATTATTGTCGCGTGGTAATCTCATACAGAAGGCAGCTTCGTTAGTCAGTGCGCCTCAAAGTCCCAGCACACGCTACGCAGACTAGCTTGGAAAGAGAAAGAGAAACAGAGGGAGACAGAGACAGTCGCTTGGCCCCTTAGGCTGGCTTTGCGTCGACTTTTCTACTTGCAGCCACGCCGCGGCATAGTTTGAGCCGCACTGCGCTCGACTAAGGGTGAACTTTCTCTTCCTCTGGTTTCGCATTTTTATTTTTCTCGTTACATTCAGAGGCTGACACGTGTAATATTCAATGTCGATCTTTCCTTGGCAAAATTACCGGGTATTAGAGATTGATTTTCTTGCGGGAAGAAGATCTTCATTTCTATTTGTTTCTGCGACGATTATTGTAGGTACGTGTGCCGATGATTATGAAAATAAGCCGAGTTATACAATTTTCGGATCGAAATGTTTAGACTTTTTCTCTTCGAGCATGAACTGAATTCTGTTCAAGGGGGGATATTCAGGTGAAAATCAACTACCGGTTGCTTTACAGATAAAATTTCGAAAATATGTATTTCAATATTATTTTTTACGCTGAAATGAATTATGCAAGAATCAATGTAGTAACAAAATTTTGTTTTCATAATTGAACCCTTTGCAATCGAGTGGCGACTGAGAAGCGACATTAAATAATTCATCGAGACCCTTTTAGAGCTGATATTTTCGTGATCTATCAGACCTATAGGAAAAATCAACCTCAAGTTAAACATTGAAATAAAATAGTATAGTTTATTACATTAGTTTTGAAAAATTTCAAACATCCGATTTGCAACCTTTCCTATAGCAATCCTAACCTAACCTTCGAGTGCAAAGGGTTAAAAAAAAGTTTGTCAAGAAAATTATAAGATTTTTCCGAACAACCTAATACTTCCTGTACGAACGTAATGGGTGCCCTAATATTTACGAATGGAAGTGTATGTTTGTATACACAGTGAACAAGATTGGACGCGTTCAGTAAATCAGACACAAAAGATACAGTTTTCCTATGATATAATTTAAACAAGACACGTGGAATTCCGTTCGGAATCGTCCTCTCATCAAAACAGATCTCTAAAACAAGTGACACAATCAGGATTCCAGCTGACCAAAGGGAAAGTCCGCGAGGAACGCAGCTGTCGTTCCATTTTCGATGTCGTTTCGGAATCACGAGCAGAAAAGTGAACTCCTCTCTTCCTGACAAGCTGTCATTCCTGTTTGCTGCTCGCTGGGAACGAGAATTATGCAAATAAGTCTTCGCTGATCCTCTTAGTTACACGTACGAGGGTGCGTGGCATTGCCTCGGGACTACGTTCATTATACGCGCTTCGCGGGCTAATCGGATTAAATAATAGTTCTCAGTTCCGTTTCGAAGCGAGCCGTCGCGCATCAGAATCTCGAGTGGAGAACGGCGAACAAAAAAAGAAGAAAAAATGCTAGGGAAAACGCGGTTTTTTTCCACGTTCGTTTCGTTCAGTAGTTAGTCAAGGAGAGCCTCGAACCTTTTAAAGAGAAGCGTTATACTTTTCCGCCTTCCCATTTTCAACGATTAGGTAATGTCCCTAAGCGGCACGAGGATTCAAGCAGACGCGAGATTCTGAAAAGCTGAGGCTAATTGAAAACACTACTCGAGATTACGAGGGGAATTAGAATCCGTGAGCAATCGAAGCCCCTCTCTCTCTGAGATTTTGCTGAAAGATTCAAGAGGGTTGAAAATTTGACAGAAGTACGCGATCATATGCTAATTTATACCAGTATTAATTGTCACGGGTGAATTCGCGCAGTTAGAATTTGAAATGAAAACGTTTTATTCTAAAAAAGAATCTACTTAACCCCTTAACTTGCACGCTCGAGTTAATTCGAGCGCGCTAAACAGGCCAAACTGTGCACACTCGAGATAATTCGAGCGGCGTTGTATTTGATGCTGCTATAATTTTTCACACTCGAATATATTCGAGAATTGAAAATAACAATGTGAAAGCTAAGAAAAAGAATCGTGTTATTGATATTTATCATTTACATAGGATTGTAAGCTATAATACTTATTTATTCGAAAATAAAATATAGCCTTTTTCCATGGAACAAAAGCGCAGTATATCGAAATTGTCCACTAAAAGAAAAGTTGAATCAGGAGTGATAACAAATGGAAACCTTTGAGGATGTCGATGTTCTAAAGTTTGTTTTTTTTACATTAAAAAAATTGATTTTTTTTGGCCGGTTTTTTTCAAAAAAACTGTGCGTTAAGGGGTTAAGGGTGTATGAACACTCTGAGACGTCTAAAAATAGGTAAAGTTTGGGAATTTTTTTCATAGGTAATTACTAAATGAAAAGTTTCAATTTTTTTTTTCGAGGATATACATGTAACTTTTAACTTGCTTCTCCAATTTTTAAAAAGTAAGAATGTTACAAAATGCCTTAATGAGAACTGACACTCATTCACATTCTTAACCCTTCAAATTTTAAATTAATCTGCATGAAAGTCCTATGTGACTCAGTGGAATTGGAGAGAAAATAGAAACTAGAGTTGTCACATGAAAGAAAATCTCGGTAGAATTGAAAGAGTTTAAAAGATATTGAAGGAGCGTTGCTGAGAATAGGACTCGTGTCCGTGTAGAATAAATTATTAGTTATTTTATTAGAATTAAAACTGTCTCGTCTCTCGCCTTTATCAGCTGATTCCGCCAAACCTCTCTCCATCCCGGACTCCCCTACATTAAATAAATTTTCATTGCGAAAAACGAGAAAAGAAACGGAAGAGAACTGGATCAAAGAAAGGTGCAATAGTGAATTTAAAACGTAACAAGGGTAGGGAGAAGATAAATAAACAGGTATAAGATCGTATTTTAGAAATCAATATAGGGATACTAAAGATAAAAAAATAAAGATGATTAATATAATTAATAGAAGTTAAAATTAGTAAGGTAAGATAGATGTAAAATATTGTAAAGAGGAAAAGTGTAGCTGGAAGTCATCCTAAGCCGATAGGCCATTGATTATAATAAAAAAAGAAAAAAACAGTAAATTTTCTTTGTGGAAAGAAACTAGGGGGTAAATCCGTGCAACGAGCGATGAACGAAAAGGTCGAAACTTAATTTAGAACTCACCTATGCTGAGATACTTCTTGTGCACCGCCTCGTAAGCGATCCATTCGATGTTCTTGCTCCTCGTTCTTTCAGATCTGAGCGGACCGAAGTCTGGCGTGCCCTCATTCGGATTCCTGTCGTCACATACACAGTAGGATCGTTAATTCCTCGCCTCTTTATAGAATCACCGAGACTCTCACCGTGAAATTGCTGTTTGACGACTCACCCGGTGCGTGCGAAGTTAGTCAGGTAGAGAATCACGCTCTCGGATAGCATCAGCTCTGGTCTGGTGTAGTTCTTCGGCCAGTGAGCCAAACCGCCTACCAGTGGTGCCCCGAAAAAATACGGCAGATCCTCGCCGTGAATGCAGCCTAACCTCTGTGAATTTGTCTTTTTTTTTTTTTTATAATTTTCTCGTAAATTATTTCTTTCAAACGAAAATCGAGAGAATAGGTGATTTTTAAGGCATTCGCAAAAATGAGACACATTTCGACGGTATCGAAGTGAAATCAAAGATCATTTTCTCGTCCGCGAGACTGTGTCGGTAGGTATTGATGGCATTTTAACGACGCGGGACGTCGGTCGTATTTCAAACGGGAGAAAGGCCTTTTCGTTCGCCGCGGAGAGA